CTCCCGGCAAGCCCCCCCTACCTCAGGCCTCAGCAGCTCAGGAGGAATTTACTCCCAAGGGACCTCCGGCAGGCACACAGGGCCTCTGACACCCTTGACCCAGGAACAATCTGACCCTAAGGGTCTGGCCTTTACCCCTGTCCCCGGCCCCTGTTCCAAGGGCATACCTCCATGTGCTCAATGTGCCTCAGGTGGGAATTCTTGGTGGCCAGCAGCAGCCCACGGGCCTCGTCCAGCTGGGTCTTCACTTGCAGAGACTCATTGTAGAGCAGTGAGAACTGCGCCTGCAGCATTCGGTACTCCCCTGTCTCCCGTACCACCTCCTCAGGAAGGCTCCGCAGGGCTACCTAGGGGCAGGGATGTCCAAAGGCAATCAGCAAGAGGTTTCAGAGCTCAGCTCCTACCGTGCAGGCTCAGGCCCTCCCAGTCCCAAACACAGCTCACCTTGAGGCGCTCATTGGTCCGCACAGCCCCCTGAAGTTCCGCCTGCAGCTTCTCCAGCTCTGCCATGCGGCTATTGGCCAATTCCTGGTTTTCCTCCAACTCCGCATTCAGCATCTCAAACTGAGGAGTGGGAAGGGCAGTGGGAGGCAGGGCCAGGCCAGGACGCATGCTTCCCTCATAGCCCCACCATATGCCCTACCCAAGCTCCCCTCTGCAGAGCAGTGATGTACTCTGAAGGCCCAGGGACAAGCCGGACCCAGGCACTTTCCTAAGGGCTCCCAGGCAAGTAGGAGAAAACTCAGTGCTGCCTGGTCAGTGCTGGGAAGCAAGGCTTGTAACTGACAGGGGGTCAGGGAAGCCTTCCTGGAAGACCTGAAGAGCAAGCTGAGCAAGGGGAGACAGGGCGCAGTGACCCTGTAGCACCAAAAAAGTGTGCCACGACCAAGAATTGAGAGAGCAAAAGCAGGACAAGGAATGAGACAGCGACAGCAAGGCCCTTTCTCAGCTACACAACTGAGAATGCCAGTTGACTCCAACATACCCCAACATCTCTTTTCTAAGTGGTACTTTGTTTTTTTTTTTTTTTTTTTTGGCGGTACGCGGGCCTCTCACTGTTGTGGTCTCTCCCGCTGCGGAGCACAGGCTCCGGACGCGCAGGCTCAGCGGCCGTGGCTCACGGGCCCAGCTGCTCCGCGGCATGTGGGATCCTCCCGCACCGGGGCACGAACCCGTGTCCCCTGCATCAGCAGGCGGACTCTCAACCACTGCGCCACCAGGGAAGCCCCTAAGTGGTACTTTTAACCAGCTGATGTACATACGACCTTACCTAATTCTTGTCAGTTACCCAAACTAGAACTTAAGCTCCATGAAAGGTTTAATCCCTGTCTGTTTCGTTCTCCAAAATGCCTGCTTCCTACACAGTACCTAGCACTTAGTGTTCAGCAATTATTTACTGAATACACATATGAAAGAATGAAATAAAGAGCACTGTGAGTAACGGGGAAAGACCTCCGAGACCACAGCTGGACGTCTGTCCTTAATTCTGAGGGGATGTTCAAGGGTAGGGTAGAGAAAAGGTTGTGGGAGGGACGAGGAAGAATGCTGCTGCTCACCTTCTGCATGCTGAGTGTGATCTGGCCCCCCTGAAAGCCTGAGGAGCTCCCAGATACATAGTAGCCAGAGTTGAGCTGTGGAGAGAAGACAGAGGAATAGATGGGTGTGGAGAAGAGAAGCGAGGGCCCCAAGTACCCTGCTCTGGCTCCATCTGACCCAATGTCTGACCCTACCTGCTCCAAGGCCTCCGCTAGGTGCTTATTGAGCTTTTGCTCACGCTTCCGCAACTTCTCAATGTCCCACTGCAGGTCTTCTACTGTCGTCTCCATCTCCAGCACTTTGGTCTCTGCAGATGTCACTTTATCCTGGAGCTCAGAGTACTGGGGACAAGGAAGGGGACAGGTACTTAGATAAGAGACCCGGCTCCCTGAGATCCTTGGGTGCCCATCTAATCCAAACCCTGCCCTGGTTCTAATCCCACCCTAAAAGCCCAACTCCCACCTCCAATGAGATGCGGTGGTGCTTCTCCTGTAGCTGGGTGGCCAAGTCCTGCAGTCGCCGGTTCTCACGGCCCAGCTCCCGGGTGCGTGCCCGAGCCGCCTCACTGGGGGGCTCACTGTCCCCTGTGAAGGGAGGGCTCGAGTAAGAGCCAAGTCCAAGGCAATGGGTCAAAGTACTAACTCATCCTGGAGTCTGCTAGGTCATTGCCCAGTGTGATCCACCAGCTGTCTTGCCATTTTCTCATGACAAAGCCAGGAGTCTTTGTCCCCACTGCACAAAGGAGGAAACCAGCTCAGAGAGGAGAGCCATCTGCTCAGAACGCCCAGGCTGGACTGACAGAACTAAGGCTGAGAGAAGTCAGTCTGCCTGCAAAGCCTGGGCACGTGCTGCTATGCCTCGTGGATCAGCAACTGCCACCTAGATTCGTGCACAATGCTCCCAAGAGGTCTCCAGCCACAAGGGGGAAGCTCCCCCAGCATCAACAACTCCTCCCACCCATCTCTCTAGAGCTCAACTCCAGGAATCAAAGCGAGAGCCACCATCAACAGCCTAATCCTGCACCTGAAAACATGGCTGATTTATTCCTTGGGGAACTGTGGCTGCCTCTGGGCCAGGAGCACTGAGGAGGGGATACCATAAAGATGCAAATGGAGTTGGACCCTCTGGGGTGGGGGCACAAAGAACTAACCTCGGCTGTATACTCGCTGACAGAGTTCCTCCACCTGGCGCTGTAGGCGGTCAGAGGCCTCCACGACACGGGACACAGCTGCCTTGGAGAATTCCATGCGGCCCTGCAGCTGCAGCTCCACCTCCTCACTACTGCTTGCACCCAGGGCCACCACAAAAGCCAAGGCTGGCTCACTGAGAGGTGGCCGCAGCTGCATTGGCAGGGGCTCTGGGAGGGACGGACAGACCCTCATGAGGATAATGGTAACAGTTACCACCACTCTTTACCAAGTTCCAGATCGCCTCCTTCAACTCTCTATGGCTCACTGAGTCAACATAACCAACACCTGTAGTACTGTTGTTATCCCCATCTTAAAAGTGAAATAACTGCAGTTCAGTGAGGTAATTTCCTCAAAGCCAGAGAGCTACCAAATCACTTCCTCAGGGAAGGCCTTCTCTGCCTTCCCAAGCTAAACTAGTGTGCATACACACTAATTCCCATTCAGGGACCCCTATACTTTTTTCTTATGGTTTATAATCATTTTCTCTCTAATGGTTGAGGCAGTAAGTATTTCTTTTTTATTTTCTTTGTCTCCTCCAAAGCTACAACAATGTCAACTACACAGTCAGCATTTAATACTTTTTTGAACTAAGAGTGTCAAAACAAGAATTGCACTCTTAACCATGTCACTCAGATTCCAAAACCTGTGTTCTTACCCACTGCCCTTTGCTGCCCAGATATGAAATCAATTTGTGTGTGTGTGTGTGTGTGCGCGCGCGCGCAAGCAGGGAATTCAGCAGCCTAATGTCAAAGTTCCCTCCTCTCCAGGACCTTCCCCAGAACTTAATTAAGCTTCCCAGATCCCAGGGCTCTGGCCCTACCCCTCAGCTCCGATGTCCCTGGCTCTGTGAGAGGGGTCTCATCACGTGTTGGCCCCTCCTGGGTCCCAGGCGCCTCTGTCCCCGAAGACAGCTCCCCCTGGCTCTCATGGTGTCGGAGAAGGGCTTCCACAGTTTCATCCAGCTGAAGGGAGAAAGCACCAAAAATGTTATGAATCCCTCAGGTGCTTCCCAGCATGATACTCCTTTCCTAACAGAGGAGTCTGAGGATTGGCAGCTGGATCAAGGCCAGGTCTTGGAAAGTAGAAGGGCATCCACCTGGGCCCAGTAGCGATTGACAATGAGGAGTGTGGCGTCATCTGTGGCCTGCCGCTTCTCCAACTTCTCAATTCGTTCTCGGAGTTCATCTTCACAAGCCTGTCTCTGTTCCAACCGCTCTGCCAGTTTCTTATTCTTGAACTGCAAAACCTTCAAGTCCATCTCCTCCTACCAAGGAAACAAAGGGGCCGAGAAGATGGTCAAGCAGGGACCAAGAACCCAATCATAGAAAGAGACCAAGAAAAGCAAAATGGAATGGATGGGAGAGGGGAGTATCCCCAGACTAACTGCTAACAGGATTTAAAGAGGCTCAGACACCCACAGAGAAAGCGTCTCGGTTGTGAGGAGGGTCACGTTCTGCTTCTGCCTCTTCCTAACTCTGAAGTCTTTGACAAGTCACACGCCCTCTGGAAACCTGTTTTCCTATCTGTAAAGGGAAGGCAGACGTCGTGTCCTCGGTTTCTTTCAACAGAGTGTTCTGAAAAGTGGATCTTGCTAAACCTGGGGAACTGGGAGTAAGGTTCTGGACGACGTGGACGGAGAACAGAGATGGGAGTTCTGGTAAGTTGTGAGGCCTGAAACAGGAGCCCACGAACCGTGGAAGAGATGCCCCCAAGACGAATGGGCTCTATAAGCGTGGTTGTGGTCTTCTCCTCGCGACTCAGCTTCTTCTCTGGGGGCCCCGAGCCCCCATCGCCGGCGGCGCGTTTGTTGCCGGGCCCAGACATGGCCGCGGCGGGGAGGAGCGGCGCAGGCTCTCCCGAGGCACGTCAGGCAGGCGGAGGCGACGCTTCCGTCACCTGCAGAACACAGAGAGCAGAGATGTGGAAGCGGCCGGAGCTCCTGCGGCCCCGAGCCTCGTCCGCACCCACCTGCTGGACCCCGCCCCGCCGGCTCCGGGCCCCTCACCGGCAGCAGAATCACCCCACCGCCGCCATCTTGGACTCCCCTGGACGTCACTGGCCTCCCCAGCACAGAGCGCAGGCGCCACAGGCAGTACCGGATGTGGCGAAATCTTCTCCACTTCCTGTTTCTATTGGTCGCGCTTTGTGCTGCCTTTCGGGTTCCGTTTGGTTTCTTCCTGAACACCGCCTCTTCCTCTCAGTGATTGGCCAGTAGGCAGTTCCTATGGTAACCGACAACACACTTCCACTCTCCAGTCCTAATGACATCGCCTGCCTCAGAATAGCAACTTTGAAGCGAGGGCACGGGGGCGGGCCTTGCGGCTTATTACGCACGCGCATTCTCTTCTCACTGAGTGGCGAGCGCCGTACACTTTCTCTCTTGCTCCAAGAACCCCCTTAGCAACGGTCACCGTTGAGACGGAGGAAGACGCCCCCAGCGGATTGGCTGCACCGGGCCTCTCTGCAGCGTGGATTGGCTTGAAGCGTCGATAGAGGTCCAGGCCTTGGCAGCCTCTGCCGGAGAATCGGCTGTCCCAGAACCGAGGCAGGACAGAACCTGTGGTGCCCCGCGGCACAGAGGAGCGACAAGATGATCCGCCGGAAGTCCAGCCAATTCCAGGGACTGAAAATGCAATCGGAGCTTGAACAGCACTACGAACTGCGGAGAGAACCCAAGAAAGACCTCAGGTCATTGGATGAATCGGCCACGCGGATGGGAACAGGTGTGCATACCGAGTCGGGGACCGTGGCTTCGGTGAATGCGGATGAAGATCCTGCAGCCGACTTGTTCCCGGTGAGGACTGGACAGAGTCGTCCGCTCATGAATGTTTATAAAAGGGCTCCCCAGCAGGGCGCCACCCGTCGTTATGCTTTCTAACGTTCAAGACGTTTCCCGGGCTGCCTTGGTGAAGAGACAGGGGTGTGTGACCCCCCCCTTGTTAATATGCTCATGAATAGTACTTAGGGGTCGCTGAAGCCCAGCCCGCCAGCATTGCTCGTAGCTAGTCTTTAAGATGAGAAGGCAAGTTAGCGCGTTCTTAGGCCCGCTAGAGATTCGCAACGGCTCAAGAACTAGGGGCCATGAACAACACAGCTCTGCCTTTCCCAATCCGCTTTCTCTCTGCAGCCGCCACTGCCCCAGCCCCGGATCTGCATATGGTGAGTGTGAAGAGCTTTGGGGGAAAGTTACCCTTCACACTTGTATTATTCCTTTAGGGCTTCCCCACAATCCTGTCAAACAGCAACGGTATCCTCATTTTACAGATGAGGAGACTGAGGCCCAGAGATGCAATTACCCGAGATGACTAAGTCAGGTCTCCTGCTGCCCCAGTCCAAAGAGAGTGTGAGAAGAGGGGAGCCAAAGACTGAGAATGTAAATGTAGTATTAGTGCCTCTGTGGAGCATTGTACAAATGGGGACACTGAGGTTCACAGAGGGAGACTTGCCCAGTTATACAGTAGGGAGTGGCAGAGACCAGAACTCAAGTTTCCTAACCCTACACTTTAGAAATGAAGAGGATCATAAGAGTTCATTTTGGCCATACCCTCTATTTACAGATGGAGAAAGTGAGGCCCAGAGAGGGAAGTGACCTGCCTAAGGTTACAAAGCAATTCAGTGGAAGGGCCAAACCTCTAACTCAGGTCTCTTGGTTCCCAGTCCAGTGCTCTAGCCATCATAGCCCTGTTATGAGGGTAATGCATAATGGCCACCAACACCTTTTCCCCTCTTTTCCTATGACAGGAAGTACCTGGACATCCATTCCATGCACAGGCTGGAGAAGACAGCCAACGTTGAGGAGATGAGGGAGTATGCGGCGGGAGCAGGGAGGGGAATAAGAGCTAGCTCTTGGGGAAGGCTGGGAGGTGGATGGGCTGGGAAGGCATGAGGAATGCCTGGCTCCAAAGCCTGTTGTACACTAGTGTGGGGCGGTGAAGAGAGGCTCCGGTTGTCGCTCATTCCTTCCTCTCTCCCTCCCAAGGGTGCTGGCCGAGCTGTTGGGACTAGGCTCTCCTGCGCAGAGCCTGCGGGACGCCATCACCCTGGACCTCTTCTCCCATGCACTCATCTTCTGCCGCCAACAAGGCTTCTCCCTGGAGCAGACATCAACGGCTTGTGCCCTGCTCCAAGATCTTCACAAGGCCTGTATTGGTAAGAGAAGGCCCCCGAAGGCTGTGAGTCCAGGGGAGAGAAGAAGGCTGGCACAAGTGACCAGGGGAAGTAAAAGCAGGATTAGCACCTGAAATCTTTGTTCTGTCATCACTAGCAGCAGTATCACACCCGTTATTTCACCTTTGAAATTCTCTATTTCCTTATCTATAATAAGGCTACAGCACTAACGTTATGAAACTGTTCTGAGAAATATTATATATAATAGATGTAGATATATGCACAGTGCTCAATAAAACAGCTCTTGCTTTACTCCTGGAACTAATTTTCTACAGAATGTTTAACGAGAGCTAAACTATGTATTTCTTGGTTTATTGTCCATCACTTCCACTAGAAAATACGCTTCTTAAGGGCAGGAACTTGTCTGGTTCAGTGCCCAGAACAGTGCACAGTGGGTACTCAATATTTGTTGCCTATATCTTTCTACTTCTAAAGCTCATGCTCAATAAGTAGCTGTTGAGTGACTAAAATGAATGATTATCAGGGAGGGTACTCACTGTCACATCTTGCCTTCCCTCCCAGCAACCCCCTTGGGCAACGTGGAGGAATGTTACCGCTACTTCACCAGTGTTCTTTTTTGCCACGGAATCAAGGTCAGTTTCACTCTCCCCCCAGATAAGGTCTAGCCCAGCCTCCCACCCTCTCTTGCACACATGACCCTCATCTTCCTCTGAAGGCCACAGTGGGCTCTTCCTGCTCCTGGATTGCCGGGCACTTGGAGAAAAGGTGAGGGCTTCAGGAGGTGGTCAGTCCTCTAACTCCCAATCATCCCCACAGCGGCCCCCCTTCAGTATCAACCTCTTTAAGGAGGAACAGCTGCTGGCCCTGGCAGATTATGTGGTCAACACCTACTTCCGCCACTTCAAGCTCTACAAATATGTCTTCACACCCCAGGTACTGGGCCATGGGCTACAAGAAGCCACCCCTCATCTCCCCCCTTTCCCTCAGTGCAGACGTCTTCCTCCCTCTTCCCAGGTGCGGCTGGATCTGTCTTTGACTTACATGGGGCTACAGGCACCCAAGCTCTGGCCAAAGGATGAGACGGGTAAGGGAGAATGCCGGGGCGAGGGCTGGACTGGGCTGGGGCTGAAGCCTCCTCCTGCCTTCTGGCTTGCAGAGAAAGAAGAGGGCGAAGAGGTGGAGGAGCAGGCACTCACCCCAGATGAGGAGGAACCAGAAACAGTGGTCCAGCCAGAGCCAGAGCCAAGTGAGGACCTGGAGGGGTTAGGGTTCCCTGTGACTTTGGGCAGGTGTGAAATGAAGGATTTAGACCATATCAGGACTTCAGAATTTTTGTTTTAGTCATGGTGTCCTTTCTCCAAATGATTCCTTATGCAGAAGTCCAAGATGGCAAACAGATAAAAGCACAGCTGCTGGGGGTGAGGCAGGAGTCCCAGAAAAGGATTATAAAACCAATGACAATAGGGCTTCCCTGGCGGTGCAGTGGTTAAGAATCCACCTGCCAATGCAATGGACACGGGTTCAAGCCCTGGTCCGGGAAGATCCCACATGCCGTGGAGCAACTAAGCCTGTGAGCCACAACTACTGAAGCCCGCGTGCCTAGAGCCTATGCTCCACAACAAGAGAAGCCACCACAATGAGAAATCTGCGTGCCACAAGGAAGAGTACCCCCGCTCGCCACAACTAAAGAAAGCCCACGCACAGAAATGGAGACCCAACACAGCCATAAATAAATAAATAAATAAATAAAAATTAGAAAGAAAAAAAAACAACCCAATGACAGTAATAGCCAGCACACATTTGACAACACTGTGTGCCAGGCAGGCCCTGTTTTAAGCATATATATATATATATAGACCTTTTTTTTTTTTTTTTTTTTGTCTGTGCCGTGTAGCTTGCCGGATCTTAGCTCCCTGACCAGGAATCGAACCCGTGCCCCCTGCAGTGGAATTGTGGAGTTGTAACCACTGGACTGCCAGCGAATTCCCACATTTTACATCTATTAACCCATTTAATCCTCTCCCAATCCTAGTTGCTAGGTGCTATCACTATCTGCATTTTACACAGAGGAAACTGAGGCATGGAAAGGTTAAGTCACCTGCCTAAGGTCACAAGGCTACTAAGTAGCAATCCAGAAAATGCAGCAGCATAGCCACTCTGCCCATCTTTCTCTCACCGAAGGGCTGGCTGACATTTTCTGAATTGAAGCAACACTGCCACTAGTGTAGCTCCCAGGGGCACGCTGGAAGGCTGTGTTTGCCTGGCTAGGGGCAATCCCTCAGCCCCAGACGGCATCTCTTCTGACCCGTCCCTTCTTCCCTGCCCCTCAGGCCAGGTCTCCATCCTCCGGGCCTACATCAAGACCCAGATGAACAAGGAACTGGAGCAGCTCCAACAACTGGTGGAGGAACGGCTCAAGGCCAGTGAGGAAAGGCTCAGCAGCAAGCTGACCGCACTCGAGCGGCCCCTCCAGCTACCTCCAGGCAAAGGCAAGAACAAGACCTAGTGACCCCCACCCTCTTCCCCAATAAAGAACTGGACCAAACTGGCCCTACCCCGCCCCCATCCTGAGCACCTTCTGGGCTTCCCTGCACCAGACACAGGACGCTGGCTCTCCCTGGCGTGTAGCAGATTTTATTGCATACGTGGCACAGGCAGCATGGATAAGGCCAGGCATGGCACTCTGGGTGGCTCTCTTCCACCTCAGCTCTGATCTCAAAGCCCTGGCCAGTGTGGGTAGGTGTACAGGGCTGGTCTCTATGATACTCTGATCAGTGGCGGGCCTGGCCAGGCATGGGGGCCTGAGGCCATAGCCCAGAGGGGCTGGAATGATAAAAATCCTCCTCCTGGAGAGTTCTGCTTCCTGGGATTCCTCAGGGCTGAAGTACTAGCCCAGCACCAGCATGGCCTCATCTTCAGTGATAGTAGCTGAGTCCCCCTCCTCTTCAGGGGCCATCATGGAAAAAGGCCCTGGGGGCCGGTGCTGGAAGAGGGCTGCCCGGTTCTGCTGCTCACCCTTCTTCACCCAGTGTCCATAGAGCCGGAAGGCACAGCTGTCAATGAGGCGCCGCACTGGCCGCAGCGCATAAGGGTCCCTCAACAGTGCACTCTTGGTCAGCGGCCGTACACGGTGGGTGCTTAAGGCCACCCGTCCAGCAGCCAGCACTGTCCACACTGCCACCTGGGAAAGGGGGCAGTGTGAGCTCCACGGGCACATCCACCAAAAGAAAAATCATGGGACAGAGGAGCAGGCCCACACCCTGACACTCTCAGGCTTACCCGGAACCGCTGGCGGGGGCTGAGGTTCCAGGGTTGGCTGCCTTCACAGCGCTCAAAGAATGGGTGCTGTAGGGCTTGCTCAGCTGTCAGGCGCTCCTCAGGATCCACCTGTAGCAGCCTCGAGATCTACGGGAAATGCCAGAGCATGAAGGGCAGCTCTTGGGCCTCCCTCCTTGCCCTCTCATGGCCCCAGCTCACCAGGTCTTTCACAGTGTCAGAACGGTCATCCCACTCAGGTGAACTAAACTGGTACTGGCCCTCCATAATCATGCGTAACATCAGGATCTGGCGTCGGTGCCAGAATGGTGGCGAGCCAGCCAGGAGTGTGAACAAGATCACCCCACAGGCCCAGCTGAGAAAGAGACCACAGTCAGGGAGGACTAGGTGAGCGAATGTGTTGAAGGACACTACACAAAGGAGGAGGGAAGGGGGAGACCAGAAACTCACAGATCGACCTCCTTGCCGTAGCCTGGGTGGGTTTCATCCATGGAGCACTTAAGGATCTCTGGTGCTAGATACCCTGGAGTCCCACACAATTCTGGGGAGAGAGGCCTGAGATTGATGGGATGTCACAGCCCCCTCAAGGACCCTTAACACCAGACCTCTGCTGGAGCCTCAACACCACCAGAGCCCCAAGTGTTCCCATTCTGCTCCTGCCTACCTTCTGCCAAGTCTCGGTATTAGACCCTAGCCCTGCTGAACAATTCAAGGACCCACCAAGGCTCCTGGTGGCCTTCCTGGGAAAACCAGATTTTTAGATTGACTTAAAGGTGCTATCCAACTGTATCACTTGCCTCCCCCAACCTTCCAGCCAACCCACTCCTCACACAACTTTTTACCACGTTTTTACATATATACACACATAGAAAACAAAACTTAAATCTTTTCTACATTCCTTTCTGCCCAAATCTATTCCTCCTCCTATAATCTCTACTGCAGTTAGTGGAACCACCACTCAACCAAGGGGAATGAGTAGGAATATGGGATTTCTTAAGGCACATTCTGGGTAAATTGTTTGTTTAAAACCCTTCCCTGGCTTCCCATCATGGCCTCAGGATCAAGTCTAGACTCCTACAGCACAGAGCCCTCCATGACTTGATCTAAACCTGTATTTTTAGTTTCTTCTGGCACCAATTCTTCCATCCCAGCAATTTCCGAACTGTGATCCATGGCACACTTCGAAGAGATCTTAATAGGCCTGAATTGAGAAACTGAATTTCTCTGGGGAAATTCATTCCAACTCAAACTATTTACTGAACGCCTACCATGTGCCAAGCACCACACTAGACACAGTGGCGAATTTGATGTGCCCTTACCAAGTTCACCACCTACCAGAAAGCAAACAAATAACAGAGTAAGACATGTATCATGAAGTGGGGGAGATATAAGAGCAAAAAGCAAGGGCTCTAACCTGACATAGAACTTTAAAGTAAAAGCTAAATTATCCAAGCCAAGGGAGAGGCTGGAGTGGGCAGGGGCAAAAATGATGCAGAATAGGGAAGTGTATGTGGCAGCCCAAAGGGACACAAAGCACAGCATATGGAAGATGTGTAAGTCCACAGATTAAGACCATGAACTCTGGAGTCATACTGCCCAAGTTCAAATCACACCTATGTGACCTTGGGCAAGTCACCTCACCTCATTAAGCCCACTTATAAAATAGACACAAATACTATTTCAGAGCTGTTGAGAGGATCTAGAGAAATAAGCCATGTAGACGCAGCGTGGTGCCTTACTCACAATAAGTGCCCAGTGAATGTTAGCTATTAGTAAGTCCAATGCAGAGCCACTGAAGGAGAGGAAGTAGTATATTAAAGGCTCTGGGGAGTCTCACACTTGAACTTTGTTTAGTTTTCCACTTGCACTAGAAATGGTTGTCACAACAAATGTGTGGGCACGAGGTGAGAAGGGCTGTCGCGCCACACCAGGCTCCTCATAGCACCTAAGCAGCACACTGTGGACCTGCCTCTGCCAGACCCCAAAGGCACAGCTAAGCCCTGCTATCCCTCGCTCCCTCTTTTTCCTCCTGTGACAAGCCCAGCCTCCCCAGGCCGAGGTCCGAGCCCCATCCTCTGTGGGTCCCTACAGCTGAATCAGGTACTCCTTCCTGGCTTCCTGGCATGGCTCCTTGCCTGCTGTGTGCCATGATCTTCTCACTTGTCTGCCTCCAGGTCAGGAAGCCCACACTGATTTGCACATGAGGCTCTGCACCCAGTGGGGACCTGGCAAGTGCTCACTGACCTTCCTTTCCTTGGTACTTGGGACCCAGTTCTCAGACCCAGCCAACCAGCCCCAGGCCTGAGCCTCTTTCCCTCCCAAGCCTCTCAGGGTACCAGGTCCCCTCACCTCGAAGCTTCTCGTCAGGTTCCAAGTGGCAGGAGAACCCAAAATCTGACAGTCGGATCTGCATATTGTCATCTAAGAGAATATTCTCAGGCTTCAGGTCTCGGTGTACAATGTTGTTAGCGTGGAGAAAGCTCACTGCTTCCAGCAGAGACCTCATGATGGACCTGAGGGAGGCACAGTCTCCTTTGCTTCTCCCTGTCCCGCCCCACCCCCTGCTCATCCCAGGGGTTGCAGGCTCACCCATTACCTGGTTTCCTTTTCTGAGAGGGCCACCTTCTCTGTGAGATAGTCAAACAGCTCTCCCTTCCGCATCCTAAGGGATAGGAGGGGTTGGGAGATAGGTGCACCTCACAGTGGTGGCTGAGAAAAGAAGCCAGTGCTCACAGAAAATACCACGGAAGAGGCCAGTAAAGAGATCCCTCTGTAGACAAATGAAAGGGACTCGAGACAGAGCACTCCAAGAGTGAACCGGATGTCAGGGGCACTTTGGCCCAATGGGTTGGCCGTCGAAATATCTGCACTGTGCCACAAGGGGGCTATCTTAGCAAGAATAAGTGCCTTGTGATAATCATTTACAGGAAGTCTGTGTTATCTGAGAATACACTCACAAAACGCCTTCTGAAGTGAATCTATTTAGACCACGGACCAAAATTTTCCAGTTAATAGTAGGAAGAAAGTTGAATGGGACTTTATTTTGAATTTTGCTTATTTTATCTTGTCTTTAAAATCTGAGGTTATAATTGCAACTCTGCATCAATCCTTGAAATAAAGAACACACCAGGTTCTGCAAAGCTGCATGGTGGTGTAACAGACACTTCCCACTTCCCCTCGACTTTTGCAGAGGGTCATTTCTGTCTGAAGACTTTGTAAGTTTCTTCCAAGGGCCTCTCTTAAACATCTGGTATCCAAACCATTCTCTTTTGAAGTACCTTTGCAACTGGTTTGCATTATAGCACTGTATAATATCTGACATTCAGCTTTAGACCGACCAGAAAAAGAACTGATGGGCAGACAGAGACTCCAGTGGAGGGTGTTAAACACTGGGAGACTGGTGAGGGAGAGTCTATTTATATGTGGTCAGCTCACGAATAAACACCCTCCTCCTAAAACAGGGTCTCATGAAGACCCTTTGTACTTAGCTGGTCACTATGACTCTTGAAGAACTTGCCTCAATCTGGGCACCTAGGGAGAAGGGCCAGAGCCCTGAGCTGGCAGGCAGGCCTGAGCGGGAGCAGAGGAAGGTCTTCAGCCCACTGTGCTGTAAGGCTGGGGCCATGCATGGAGGTGAGGAGGAGGCTTCTCGATTGGGGCTGGGAGATACTCACAGGTCAAACACCAGGAACATGAAGCTAGAAGACTCGTAGGAATCGATGAGAGTGACTGGGGAAAGAGGCAGAAAGGCAGAGAGACAGAGATGGAAAGGAGCAGATGCACATTAAAGGGCCTTTTCCACCCTGAGGCAGCAGTGGGCTGTTACTAGGAAGGAAGGAGAACCAAAGGAGGCAGTAGGGACCCAAAGGCTGGCCACACTTTGAGGTGCAGCGGAGCCAGGACTAAGGGAGCAGAGGCATGGAGGCAGTGCTGGGGGAAGTGGGCTGTGGGCAGGGCTAACAGGAGCAGGGAATGCAGCCTCACTGATGTGGGGGTGGCCGGCGACCTGGCGAAGGATGTGTGTCTCTCGCCGCGTGGCTTCTCGCACCTCCTCCAGCTGCTCAGGACTCAGCCGCTCAGCTGTCACCTCCATGATCTTCACCGCAAACTCCCGGCCAGTAACTCGATGAACGCAACGGCGGACTACAGAGCTCACTCCTCTGCCAGAGTCAGACAACGCACAAGTCAGGGCCTCCTGCTCTCTCATTTCCACGCAGAGTAGAGCCTTGGCAGCCTCACACCCACTATGCCAGACTCTGGAAACCCATTTAGA